TTTAAATTTGAGCTTTTTTTAGGTGTCTGATTTATATCTCAGTTTTTACTATTATTTTATGTTTGACAAACAGGCGTTGGTACTCTAGTAACTTAATTCTAATGGTGGAGATGGATGGCGCAATGAAAAGCTGGTAGTATTCTTCAGACTTGATTTTATTATCAATAAACATACATCGAATCACTTATAACGAAATACTATGATACTCACTGTATGCTGGTCTCGATCAGAAAGAATGATTGACAACCAGCAAAATGAACACGCGAAATCGAATACGAAAAAATAATAATTTAAAATATTAACGGCCAGCATAGACCATAAACCGTCCGAAGAGCAAACCTACCTATAGTAATGTGCTCGGATGTTACATGCCCGGGCTGCCTAAAAAAAATATTAGAGCGTGTGAAGACGCTCGAATAATTTTTACCTAAGTCTAAACCCTAAGTCCTACCTGCTTGAGGAACTTAGAGGAGGCGGATTTTACTAATAAACCAGTTCCTGCAATGACTAGTATTAGTGTGACTAGTGTTCTAGGGCTTCTTAGGGAATTCTTCACATTGCAGAAACACTACAAATGCAAAATCTCAATAAAGGCACCTATACGTCTCCCAAATGTCTACAATCATCAAAACCCTAAGTTTGATATTGGATGACGTCAAGACCCAAACACAACAAACTTTATTTTAAACACAGCTATCATAATTGATATTCTCGATTCCCGTAGTTAAAGTCAATCAAAATAGAATCAATTATAGTTAATATCCAACCCAAAACAATAAACATAAACGGATATGGCCAATGACAATGTGCATATCTTATAAGCATCTATGATAAATCATTGACACCCATGAGACAACAAATTGACACATAGAGCCTAAGGACGTCCAACATCAAACAAGATGAAACCCAATTCCTATGGAACCAGATGGGATCCCCGACCCTCGCAATGCCCATGTATAAACACTACGCGCGATACAATAATAATGATGACGCGCATATGTAGTGGGAGTCTGTCGACTTATCAACAGAGATGCTTCATAGTAGGCCCTCCGTTTTGCTGACGTCAGGATACGCGCCAGCTTCATCATGCTCTTACGAGAATCCGGAAGATGAAGTAGGAACATGAAACAATTAAACAATATTAACAAATATCCTTGGAAATTTTACAATAAATAAACAATTATAAAACAAATATTTCACATGGCAATATATATTAAAACACATATTAGATTAATATTACTATTCAAAATAAGCTCATTATCACACTAAACTTGAACAAGGAATCGAACCTGTCGTAGTTCCTAAATAAAAGAAAATAAACTTAAAAACTTAGAAATTCATATGACACTAAAAGTAATCTATTCAACTAACTTATAATAATAAATAAGAATTATTATAATAAGAATGATAAAACATTAACCTTATACCTATTTCCTCGAATTCTAAAGAGTTTAATTCTATTAGAATGAACTACCTTTATCGTATAACTTCCTAACCTTCTTATTATAAAATTATTATTACTAATCGGTCATTTTATCTGATATAGAAATCTGTCCTTATATTTTTCCATATTAAACCTAACCTCATTGAGGTCCATCTTTATCTTAGGGTAATTTAAGAAATGTAGCCTATTTTTTCTATTATGAAAACTTTTCTGAAAAGAATACGACATAAAAATTTTGTCCATTACTCCTCACAAAAAAAAAATTGACATTTGTATCTCTAGTATTATGTGATGACTTCATATTATGACTATGACTATTTCGATCCAAATTACCATTATAGAAAATTAATGTTTTTCTAAACATCTTACGTTGTTCATGAAGACCTATATTCCATAACTAAATTCTTAATATTCATTGACCATAAACCGTCCGAAGAGTAAACCTACGTATAGTAATGTGCTCGGACGTTACAGTACCTATTTTTACTGTTTACATGAACTATACATAAAGTGTTTAAAATTTAAATTATTCAGTCAAATATGTTGTCATTAATCACCTGTATAATATTTGCATAATAGTCAATCGACAAATTGGTAAGGTTTTTACCCATCGCTAGGTGAAGATACGAAATTCAACAAGTCTTCCATTAGTCATCCGATCCAAGAAATTTCGAACCGACCATTGTGAATGGATTTTATTCAAAAATCATTGAATCCTCAAATAAAGTACTCCTTCCAATTAAATCCAAAACATTGAACAAGGATTTTCTAGAAATTATTTTTCTAAATATTATAAAGGCCAATGTTTATAAACCACAAAAACTATTCTGAGCGGATATTGAGAACATTCGCGATGCTATTTATAATCAAGGTTTAGCTTCAGAGTCAATTTACGCTAAAATTGAAAACTTGTATTGAACCAAAATTCATATTATACAGAGAATAAGCAAACATATTATTTTCTAGGAGTAAATATTACTCCCGTAGAATCTCGTACTCGGTTAACCTCCGCTAAGTCTCCGTTTAATAATATGAATTTTGACTAACACTAAGTGCAGTTTCAGCGTACATTTTCTCCAACGCTAAACCCTGTTTATTAATAACACTGTAGGTGTATAGATACTTTATATCTCATCAATAGTTTCCTGTGGATAAAAATACCTATAAGTCTCCCACACTCCATGGATCAAATAGACCACGCGAGCGAAGTCAACGGCGATGAGCAAGTAGATAGATAGATATGTAACATTTTATTGTAAACACAAAAAATACGGAGAAAACTAAACATAAACAAATATACTGAAGTGTCAGAATCGGCGGTCTTATCACTATATAGTGATCTCTTCCAGACAACCTTTGGATGGAGATAAATATTTTATAAAACAAAAACAAGACGGGGATGCACAATAGAGTATCCAAACAAAATCAAATTTATATAAAAATAAATAATTACAAATACACATAAAATATATACATAAAACTAAATACACATACGTATTTAACTCGATGAATACTAAAAACTACAATTATACATACATTTATACATAATAGAAGCCTAACAAGGAAAATAAAAAAGTATAGGAAAACAAATAAGAATAGGAAAATAAATAGTAGGTATAAAATATGTTCCAGAATGAATTCTAAACGAATACAAAATGTCAGCTGATGAGGTAATTGTATTTAGAAGTAGACGAGAGACCCAAAATTAAAGTTCAAGTTTATTAAAGTAGGTTTTAACTTGTACTTTACATGGTCTAAATCAATGTATTATCTATTAGTAATGGCGATTATAAAACAATTTGGATATTAGACAATATTTCCTAGCCATGTTTTTTTCAATCTCTAATGATACTAAGTAACACAATTAAGTTGAAAATTATCGTAGATTTATATATATACCGACTGTAGATTGACACAGCATTCTTAACATATAAGTACTTAACATATATTTAATTCAGTACGCTTTACCCACAGACAGGAAAAAAATTACAAATCGCAATTGGGAGTTCCTGTTGACATTTGCGTTGGATGGCATATATGAGACTATGAGTAATATTTGAAGAAATATCCATTACAATCATAAAATTCTGTTAAAACTGTAATTTTCAACAAAAAAATAATATTTAAAATTCTCATCTTAGTTTACGTAAGGTTCAATTCCAGACTATTAATTTTTATTTTCTCGAAGTTTCCGACACAGACTATGTTAAGCGCCACTCGATTAATGATTTGTAATCTGTAAAGTAATTAACACTATGCTATGCATGTGTGTCTATCGATGTTGATATTAGTTAGTATTTGACAGCCAAAATGGCGGTAAAATAGGCTACAAAAGTTATAGCCGATGTCGCTTGCATAGTGGCCTAAATAAATTATAGCCGATGTCGTACGTGCACGCTATAGTTTCCCGTAAATGAAAGAATTTTCTAAATCAATGCAGTATTGTCGAAGCCTATACAATGCAAACAAACAAATAATCAAATCTTATTAAATCTCCGCGAAAAAACGCCACATCTGTCATGGTGGCGCTATAACATCACGGCCCTCTAAAACTAATATCGTCCTATTTAGGTACACATTAAATTGAATTCTGTAAGTTCTGATAGTAAGAGGAGCGTGACGTCACGCGCTGTTTACCGTTACGTGACAACGAGTATAAAGTATTTGTTTTTTCATAATTAACTTAAGCAATATTATAAATATAATAAGCATAAAATCGACAGTTACATGAGTATATTATTTTCTCTAAACATTTTGCCGTCTTTAAAACTGTAGGAGCTTTAAAGTTGGACAAAAGCTCGTTGATACTTGTAGAATGAGTTCTCGTGATAAAAATATGCAAGAGTTATGTAACGGTCTGTACTTCAGTATGTGGAAGTACTAATACATCACTCAGCACCCAGTGATGTATTAGCGAAGTTTGGAAGAGTCCAGAGCTATCCTTGGCGGCCCTTCCCCCTTAGTGAAAGTACTCCGCAGCAGGTTTTATCAACGCATAGGCAAATATTACTTAACGTGAACGGTTTTAGAAATGTTACATTATAGCAAAACTAATACCGGTAACAGTTGTGATGTACAAAAACTCACTTTCTTCGATCTCTTAAATTAGCCAAAACCGGGTCATCTGCCCTGTAGTTAATCCTGGCTGTATCTGCTCTGTACACACACTAATCTGAACTAGACACATGTGGTGGGGTATTGTTTGTTCTCTATTTATGAACATATCCATATGAAAGCTTATACTCATCATAGAAGATATTTGAATAATTATCAATTACATTTAGTAGAAGACATTCATTACATTTAGTAGAAGACATTCATTCTGTATTCATTGGCCTATCTAGAGATATTTACCAGGGGTGCCTGATAGACGAGTAGAGCCCGTGAGAGGAGAAGGTGGATGGTGCCTTAACTTTATATTTGTATGCCGTAAAGCTTAATAGAGCTGGAACGCTTAACATTTTTATAAATTATTAAATCATAATAAATGATTAACTTGATATAGATACAATCTATAAGAATTTGTTTTAAAATTATTTTGGTATTTTCGTTTCAGAAACGAGCCACCGAAACCAAAACGACGCTTGCCTCTGTATTCCGATGAAGGCGTCTGTCGTAGGTGTGGCGGTGACCAGCAGGGAGGACTTATACCCTGCGTATGTCGATATCACAAGTGAGTACTTCTATATTAATTATCATAATTATTAATTTGGCTATCTTATTATAAACTAACATGGTCCGTGAGGAGCTCAAAGGGCCACTGGTTAACGCCATCTTCAGTAACTGAGTTAGATTATTTCTTTCATCGTAGAAATTCCGCTAGTATTTTAAATGTTTCTAAACTCTAATTATAATAATATTTCTGTTCTGCCTAAATCTTCACGTCGTATCCCCTTGTGGAGAAGTAAAAGAAGACGGAGTGCTACAAGGCATAGTTTTTATACATATATTACATACATGTTTCGCCTTCGCCACTTTCAATACTCTTTTAATGTTAATTTTCTCTTAACACTTGAAAACTAATATTAAATCAATCAAAATCAAAATCATTTATTCAGTCTAGGCTGTTACAAGCACTTGTGAAAGTCGAGAGCTACGCCATCGGTTCGTAAATCTACAGCGGGAGACCTTGTACCAAGAAGAACCGGCAAGAAACTCGGCTAGCGCTACTTTTTCTCCCTGTTTTATTTCATACAGAGCGTCAAGATTGAAAAATGACATCATTAAAATATGAAGTCACTTCCCTTTCCAATATTAAAAAAATATAAGAGTAAAACAGTATTTTCGTCAATCGAATCACATGTGTAGTCAAAGAAGCTCACCGATAAATAATTTAATATATATGAAAAATAAGCCATATTTAACACCAAGCAGTTTTTTCGTTTAAATATTCACAAATACTAAACAACATCACGTACATTGCTCAGATTCCAAGATGAGTAGCTAAAGGCCCCGTATGGAGTTTCTGAGACAACAATGGTACCACAACACCCAGTCCCGAGACAATATAGAAAAGTTCATTTTCTACATTGACCCAACCGGGAATCAAACTCAGACCTCAGAGATGGCGACACCTGAATCCGGCGTGCGAACCACTGCGTAATTCAGTAAAATCTTGAAAGGGCCTTGAGCTATGTATGTTCAGTGTCCTCAAGCGTAGATAAGATATATGACGCCTTAAAGTTTTAATAACATAATTAATAACTTTGCAAATGCGAATTCAAAAATTCGCGAATATTTGCAATCGCGAAGGCAAATATTCGCTACATCACTAATGATACTGGCAATCGTGAAACACTCATCAGTTCAGACGCTATATTTGGTAATTATTTCTTTAATTGCAGACCTGTAAAGTTCGAGTCGGGCGCGTGGTTCTTGCGACAAGTGCAACGAGCTATCAGCCTCATGCCGTGGACCATATCCACGGAGAAACTCGAACAAATAGGTTTGTATTTTAGTTATAGAGAGGTTAGGTTAGGTTAGGCATAAATATGGCATGGATGGACACCTATAGGTGGACTAGACGACTATTAAAGTGGAGATGCCGCGAAAACCATAGGTCATGTGGCGCTCCACGCAAAAGATAATAATATTAATAATAAAATCACAATTTTCTATATTAGTATATTAATAAAATCACGAAAAGACTAATGATATTTTATATATTATTTATACGTATAGCTCATATAATTTTCGTAAAACTAACTATTTAAAACTAGTAATTGTAATGTAAACGCTTTTGATTACGTATATCTTTAAAGGTTAACGTTTAAGGAATATTTTCATTATAATGTAACAATGCTGTGCATATGTTAACCTGTCATAAATGCTAGTTAAGTTTTAAAATTTCAACAAAAACTTTTTGTATTTAAGATGATGACGTGCTTTAAATAAATAAGTAAGTAAATAAATAGTGATGCACTATTTCAAATCAAATTATTTTTATATGATATGGAATCAGCTTCTTCAAGTTATGTTTTTTAGATAAATCGCACACTTGCAGCCACTTTGTACATAAGTATTAAGTACAACAGCTGAAAGCAACTTCAAAAAATCAAAGTTAACCACCATTGTAGTTTTTTTAATTATATTTAGACTAAATCACCGGTTCACGTCTGTATTATACTCTGTATATTGGTGAAAAAAGCATAGAGCATAATTCGTTGAGAAGTTTAAAAGATTTCGGGGTACAGATAGCGGGAAAACACAAATAAGCGTATCCCAATAATCAGGCAGGAGTAACATCATGTACTTATAACAAACTAAGAGTATATTGTGTAATTATATTTTCATACCGCAAGTATTATTGTTAACTACTCTCATTTTCAGAGGAAGAATGTGAAGGCCGAGATTCGCCTGGCCCAAGCGATGGCCGGGAGTTACGCAATGTACGCGATTTTCTGGAGACGCTATCAGCACAGCTGGCCGGGGGACCCCTGGAGGGGACCAGGATAGCACCGCTCTACGACCATCCAGCATGTAAGTACATTAAATGCAGGACCAACTTCATTCAAAAAACTATCTGTCCGTTCATCACTTTATTGTGTATGAATAAGTTTGTATTGTTTTTCATAATAGTTAGCCTGGTCTTGTCTCGCATATGATTCATGGATTACTTCAATTATAAAATACGAGGCATCCCGTAAAAGAGGTTTATTGTAAATCATGCATTCATCTTCATCTAAAAATATTAAAGTCATTAGACTTTCCAATAGCAATTTTAAAATCAGTTTTTTTTTTATTATCCATGGTGCATGTATTATAGAGCCTGTAGATAGCATAACATTGCATAGATGTGAGCATGTTCGAGCGACACCACGTGGCGCTGCGCGGCAAGCTGACATCTCTCGCGATAGCGCTACGCGACGCGCTGACACGTAAGCTAGGCATTAATTCTGCTAATTTCAATTGTACAGCGGAAGACCCGGTTTTAGCCACTATCCCCTTTTTGTTTATATGGAACTTAATGCGCTCTAACTTACTCATCAGAAAATATACTACTTCACCGTAAGCAATTTTATAAATGTTTTATATTAAAGCAAAACTTATACCATTGACAGTTAAGATGTCTCAAAATTACACTTTCTCGTAACTCTCGAAATGGCCAAAACTAAGTAATAATCATAGAATAGCCAAAACCGTGTCATTTGCTATGTCAATTATTTGCATTATTCCATGGTACTATCTATTTGAAATTATATATATTATTAGATTAATGTCTTACTCTATAATTACGCTAACATTAGCCGAATTGTCCTACTAGTTAGTTGGTTACTATGTAGCACGCATGACTCGTGTACACTGTGATGTCAATTTTACAGCAATCCTTTTTCTCATTGCACAGTTGTATGTTACTATTTTAAGGCACAATTCTTTTATCACTTTTATAACTGAATAGGTGATAAATTATGAATTTATCAGCTATTCATTTATGTAAGATATCTATCAAAGTTGTTATGACCTGGATATTTGTTTTAATTCTTGGTGTTTTGGGGCTTGAAATGATTTCAATGTGAATGTTAATAATTTTGGTGAGTACTTTGTTTTTTCATAATTAATTTACTATTTACAAAAGACACACCATATTTTTTATATGTACAATTAAAATTACAACAAATATTAACATACGAATATTAAAATAATAATCCAAAATCGTGGTAACATAAATTAAGAATAATAAAACAAATGTCGATTGAAAATAGGATTTAAAAATAACGTAGGCATTGCCCAACATGTATTTATTTTTTAAATACAATACAATATTAAGTAAAGGATTTACAAAATTTACCATTTTAACTTATTTTTCATATGTTGACACGGCTACGTTTAATAATATAACTTTAAGATATTATTGTGTGCTTTTTTGAAAAATGCTGCTACATTTTTAAGACAACGCCATATTAACATAATTTCAAGTCATGATTGTCACTGATTGATCTATCAAAACAAAAGACGCGCTTGAAAACGTCAAAATGAAGCCATGACAGTTGATCTGTCAGTATGACAGATCATTCGAGACGTCGTTTAAACAGATCAATCGGGGTTTGAAGTTACGCGTTAAGCTTGCAGATCCTTTGCAGATTCCGTGTGGATGACTCGATCTGACATCTAAAAGGATGTAACACATAACAATAATAAAAACAAAAATACACTCGATTAAATAATTTAAAATCTATTTTATTAAAATATAACGTAAGTATGGTAGTGGAGACATACTTGACCCCAGCGGCTTCGTCCGCGTCATCCTCTTAAATCATCTTATATTTTGATGGAAATCACATTAAAATCCCTTGTGTAGTTTAAAATATCTCAGCATACAGACACCCAAAAGTGACTTTGTTTTATACTTTTATTTATTAATTTTATTTGTTACACACGCCAGAATTACAACAAGATGCTTAAATAAGCACTAAACAGTGAGCAATCAGATGTGGACTGCAATTCCACAAATATGCGTAAACAGCATGCACAATCAGGGCAACAACATAGTTATAAAATAATTAAAAATCATTTATCTTATACATTAATAAAAATAACATTGTTATTATAATTATATATGATGTATACAAGTACTCGTACATTTAATAAAACCAATAACGCTAATTAAGATGATAATAAACAAAAGATGGATAAATATTTAAGTTACAAACAAAAAAAAAACATAATATAACTGTGCATAAAATTTCTTTCTGCAAATTAATTTTAACGCCGTTCACATTTACCATTTAAATACGATCGAAATGTTTTTGTCATAAATATTATTGCAGGCGTTTATAAAACAACTACTCACCATTGCACTACTTTATGTATAAAGAAGCTTGATTGGTCAGTGGCCATCGATCAGTGATTATGTAGGTTGAGCAACTTTGCAAAGTCACAAGATGTTTAGGTCTAATTATCTAATTTTGACATCCATACTATATTAATATCGTATTATAAATGCGTAAGAAACTCTGTCTGTCTGTTACTTAATTACGCCTAAACCACTGAACCAATTTGCATGAAATTTGGTATGGAGATATTTTAATACCCAAGAAAGGACATAGGCTACTTTTTACTTAATACTTTTAATCTAAATATATATAACTCAAAGGTGACTGACTGACATAGTGATCTATCAACGCACAGCCCAAAACACTGGATGGATCGGGCTGAAATTTGGCATACAGGTGTTATAACGTAGGCATCCACCAAGAAAGGATTTTGATCAATTCTATCCCCAAGGGGATAAAATAGGGGATGAAGTTTTGTATGAAACTTTGTCAATTTTAAACCGATCGGGCTGAGATTTTGTATAAATAAAGCTATTATGACGTAGGCAATCTCTAAAAAAGGATTTTGATTGATTCCACCCTCACGGGGATAAAATAGGGGATGAAAGTTTGTATGAAACTTTGTCAATTTTAAGGGCTGAGACTTTGCATGCATAAAGCAACTATGACGTAAGCATCCCCTAAGAAAGGATTTTGTTAAATTCCAACCCTAAGGACATAAGCTAAGAGGATAAGGCTTTTTTTCAGGTATTTTACACGATATAATGCATAAATATTAGTTAGTAATGCTACTCAAAGTTACTTTACCACGCGGACGAAGTCGCGGGCAAAAGCTAGTATACAAATAATTTAGGAAAATGGCCATTTGTTTTCCTTACTGCCAAATTGAGTGAATCTAATCAAGAAATTCGCTAATGTTAAAATTTTATTAGAAAAAAAGGTAAAAATGTAACGCAAGCCGCAAAAAAATTGTGACGTTAATGGACCTAGTGCTGTCTAGTATATGAGAGTAGCGAAAATTTGGTTTAAGCGTTTTAAGTCCGGAAATTTTGATGTCAAAATGCACGTCGCTCCGGACGCCCCTGTTACGGATAAAATGGATACCATTTTAGAAAAAGTGAAGCAAGATCGGCATATCAGTAGTGCCGACGAGAATTGAGGATCAACCACAAAACAGTTTAGGCGCATTTAAACCGTTTACTCATTTGCGATTCTTTATTATGGCGTAATGAAACCGAATCATTTTTGAAGAACTGGTGATGAAAAGTAGATCACATACGATGGTCGTGGTCAAAGGTCGGTCAAACTTCTCAGATTGTTGCGAAACCCGGGTTAATTCACAACAAGGTGATGCTGTGTGTATGGTGGGATTTGAAAAGCATTATTCATTATAAGCTGTTTTTTATCAAAAGCCCCAAAATTTCTATAGCAATGATACCATGTCTCTATCTACAAAATGGCAAAAAGTTAGCGAACAACATACTATCTACATACTATAATTCATTTTTTGTTAAATAAATAAATTTATTAAAAAAATGTTTTGAATTTTCATATAAAATGCGAAGAAAGTTTTTCTGAACCGTACCTTTGGGTAGTGAGTCGGTACAAAGTGACTCACACAGATATTTCTATTTTCCCCAAAAAAAATACAAGTATTTTCAAAAGACAATGACTAAAAATAATGTTTGTACGCTTTCATCACTTAGACACTGTAGTCGTGCTGTTTTCAACTACAAACGTATTCAGTATTGAAATAAAAACTCAGTGATATTGTTGAGTTTCAACAGAGATTAATTACCTACTTTAAAAAATATATTTATTATAAGGTATTAAAGATTTTATTGTACATTGTGAGTGATACACACAAACCCGGTCCTCAGAGTAATAATATTCATTTGGATTGAAAAATCATATTTCATTTATTACTTACGATATAAAAATAATTGTATTTGTTTAGTTTAAATTCTTGTAAAATTTCAACAAAAAAATGAGCTAAACAAATTCTGACAACCGCATATTTATTTAAATTTTAGTAATTTCATTCGAATAATGATTCTACAACCCTCTGTCCACCCAAATCACAGTAGATATCACGGTAATTTTGTAATATAAATTAATAGATAGTTGTTTATTTTAATATTTTGTCTAATATAATACGTTTGATTTCAAAGCGTCAAAGCTTCCAAAGTTGCAGACGCTAGGTGTCGCTGAAGTCATTCATAGCTATAAAATTATATCAGCGAATAAACACAAAAGATAGCGTATTGAGCAATCATCAAAATCGGAAAGGATTTTTTTTTTTTTCAAATTGGTCCTGTAGTTCCGAAGCCTGTTCAATGCAAACAAACAAACTATAAAATCTTTCCTCTTTATAATATTAGTATTATAGATAATGCCGATATGCTTTCGCATTTGAAATAATATCAGTAAGTTAACAGGTAATTTTTCACATGGCAACATGATTAATAAGCTGAAACGGTGGTAGAGTCACCTTGTATTTTATATGAGCGAAAACCGCAGGTGAAAATCGAAATTAATTTTAAAATTAGAATTGAGAAAATAATATCACATGTATAAATAAAGTATAAACTAAAATAACTGATTTAAAAAATGCTTACCTGTAAGATACACAGATTATAATAACAAGATTGTTTTCTGGTTCTTTATTGAGCTGAAATAATATATATCTATGTTACCTGCCAATAT